GGGTCAACCGACAGTGTCACTACTTGGTTCGAAGGGGAGTTACAGAGAGATCTTACGCTCACGGTTTCATCTACCGTCACGCAGTACCTCGGCCTCAACATTCAAGAAGAAGAAGGCGCGATCTATCTCAACGCCGCAAAATATGCCGACACCATCGCCAAACGGTTCGCACTCATGCCAACTACCATCTCTACGCCATACCGCTACACGGCAGGAAATGACAAGGCAGAATCTGCTCCACTGAAACCCGCCGGCATACGCAACTACCAGAGAAAGCTAGGATGCCTTCTCTTCGCGGCCGTCACCTGCCGTCCAGACCTATCATACTCAGCAAGCCAACTCGCCACCTACCTCAAAAGACCTGGAGACGAACACATGAAGGAGCTCGATCGCGCTTTACACTACCTCGTAAGCACCCCGACGATCGGCCTAATCTACTACAAGAATATAACTACAACGCCCAAGCTAATCGGCTACGTCGACGCCGACCACGCCGGAGATCCTGACAACAGACGCTCGCGCACAGGCTATATCTACCGTTTCGAGCCTATCGGACCTATTTCGTGGCAGTCGAGCAAACAGGAATTAATCGCCCTCTCCTCAGCTGAAGCTGAATATATCGCACTCTGCTCAGCCACCAAGGAAGGATTGTACCTTCGCGAACTTCTGGAGGAAGCGAAGCTGGCCCAGTTACCCAGCTTCTCCCTATTCTGCGACAACCAGTCGGCAATTCGCATCGCCAACAAAAATGGATTTGCGAACAGGACGAAACATATCGCTCTGCGATATTTCTTCGTAAAGGACGAGATCGAGAAGGGGAGACTTGAACTGTCTTACTGCCCCACATCCGAGATGGCAGCTGATTACTTGACCAAGAAGCTCGGAAAGTCGAAGTTCGAATATTGCATGCTGCTGACTGGACAGAGCCACGTCACCTGCAGCGACACTCCAGAAGCGAAGGGGAGTGTTGGAAACAACTGATTTAAGCGCCTCTGTCGTGTCGAAACACCAAGACAGAAGCGAAGCAGATCGTATCGAAACATCAGTGAGTCAACCCTCGGAGGTTGAACAACTGCTGGGAGGTTACGCGAAAGTCAAAGGTCAGCGACCTTTGACCTGACAAATGCAGCGCGACAGCAAGGACAAACAAATGTCTCGATACCGAGCAGTTTCCCGAGTCGACACTGTATCGAACCGCAATAGCAACAGTAAAACAGTTAGCAACTGTATCTCTTCATATTCCTTTGTATTCTTATAAAAGCTTGCATCTCTTTTGTTTTATCAACTTACTTTGCCCTCACATACAAGCGCAAGGTGGTTCACAATCCTTTATTAAACGCTTCCGCTACTACATCATCCTACTCTTGAATTCTATCCTGCAAAGATCCTAAGGGCCTTCTCAGCCCAACAATTATAAGCCCACCCCTGAAGGCTTACGGATTATAAGCGCCACCCTCTGTTTTGTTTTGCTATAATTGTTCTGAAATCGTTGTAACGAAACTCACATTTTCCATTCCCACATGATTGAATTTCGAAGCCCTTCACCTCGCTCGGCTCAGTGCCTGCGCGTCCAGTCAGAATGAGCTGTCGGCAGCGTAAGTTGATTCATTCTGACTGTGTGTGTTGGCAGGGAATCATTCCCTGCCAACTGGCGTGAGATTCTCAATTCCAGCCCTGTATAGTTTCGACTCAATTCAAATTGCAAGAACGTGATCTACAATTTGGTGTAAGAAATACGCATTTCCTAAATGTCATTATATAAGCGCCGGCACTTATAAAAATCCTCGATTATAAGCGCACCCCCTAAAAAACAGTGTTTTTTTATACCCCCAGCCCCAGTGGCGCTACTATCCGGGGGCTTACGGTAAGCGAAATCTTAGCATTTTCCACTACGTGGGTTCAAGAAAAAGATGTATTCATTCAGATATACAATGGCCAGAACCCAGTGCAACACCACCGTTCTCTTTTTATCAATACAAAATCCCTCGGGAGCTAGCTGGACGGGAATGCTTGATCAAGCATCGATCTACGAATGCTTGTCACATGCTACATACGCGGAACCCAGAACGTCCGTCTGCCGCACCAAGCATTTTAAAGCGACGGGCAACTTTTGGCAGTGTTGGGTTCAGAAGTTTTTTTTTTGAACCAGGCTTGCCAGCGCGAAAGTGCTGGCTGGCGAAACCAGGATTTCGTGCGGACACTTTCCATCCGCAGTAACAGTTCGCCAGGGTTCTGGGTTTTGGGTGGCAAATGTGCACCGTCGCTTTAAGTCCTCCATAATCGCTATATCTGCGCTTCGGGCCACCCTCTCATCTGTCGCTCGCTGTTCGCATGGCGATATCTGCGTCAGCATTTCGCGCGATTCACACTGCTACGCCTCTCCTACCCCCAAGCGACGACTTCTCCCAACCCACCACGCTACAACCCCTTAGGCGCACATATCGGCAGTTCCCCCTCACAAACACCCGCCTTTCCGTTGGTTTTGGCGCGCGCGCACGTCATGGCGCATGGGGTCCGCGCGCAAGCTTCACGGAAACCGCGGAGTCAGCGCGCGCGGGGCTGAGCGCGGGGGTTGCCGCGCGCACGGAGTGGGAGCTGAACGTTCGGCGGCGAGCGCCGCTGGCGGAGCGATACGGCGTGCGCGTGGAAAGAGACATTTCCGCCGACAGAATCGAGGTAGCGCGCACTGGCCATCGCACCCGCGCAGGCGTGCAGTAGCGAATAAATGGGTTCTAGGAGGATGCTCTGAAACAGGGAGGGGGGGGCTTTGTAGGCGCCTCAAATGGAGATAGCGCACCGGCAGGGCACTCGATATGCGACGCTAATGACGGGATATTTTGAGTTACGTTGGGGTGGGAGGAGGCTGGGTGGAAGCGCGCGCGGGGCGACGAGCGCAAGATCGTGCGATCAGCACGCCGTCTTGCCACTGCCGCCTCAAATGGGACACCACCACCCATCACCTCCTACCACACCCACAAGTTATGATGGCCCCATATAGTGCTTCTACAGCAACCCTGTAGCGCAGGGTCATAGGGTGCGGTGACCCTATGGTTCCTGCACTCACCCTCACCCTCGCCGCTCACCCTATAACCTAGGTCGACTAAATAGCAAGCCATGGCCCCGATAGAGGGATTTCATAAAAAACCCAGTGATTCTCCCACTTACCCATGCTACCCGTGGGTAGGGGTACAGGGTTCAGGGTTTAACCTCTCCACACCGCTCCTCGCCTGTGCTTGCTGTTTTCGGGCGCTGCGGGCAGAGGGGCATGTGTAACCACCACCTATCCCCAGCTATTGTGCCCCAGCTTTGTGTGTCATGCCTGCTGACCCATGCCTGCTGTTTGAAGGGGGTCGAGGCGGATGGGTGGCGACATTGATGTGACTAGCGGGGCTGTGTGACCAGCACATGTGGCCCATATCGCAATTGTGTTACTCATTCCCCAGGTTTGAATCAGAACCGTGCCTGCCATTGATTCGTATCTTTGATTCTGAACCATGCCTGCTGCTTGCAGGAGCTTGGGGCGGAGAGGTGGCAGCGGTGGTGGACGCCCGGGCCATGTGCCTACCGGTGGGACTGGCGCGTGGAGGAGCAGGTGCTGGTGACACGTGGCACTCTCAGAGTCACTCCTGATGTGAGTCACCGTGATTGTGACACGTGACACTCTCGAAGGCACATTCACTGGAGTGTGAATCATGATGTGACATGTAGCACGCTGGGAGCCACCCCTTGGTTTTCCTGTGTCTTTATGCTGTTTGCGATGCATCCTCTATCCACAGATCTTGCCCCTTACCAGTTCCACTGAATGCTCTTGAATGCATCCACGGCACGAGTGTGACGAGAGACTGTTAGTTTCATCTACCAACAAACTTTCATCCCTTGCTCTTTCTATCTTTCTGCACTGCCATCCATGCTCCACCCCTGCATCGGTCCATGGCAGGAGTGTGAGGAGAGCATGGAGTTAGCAGCGGGTGACTTGGTATGCTTCCCACGGTGGTTCTTAGCTGAGCTCGAGTTCAGTGCCGACTACGAGCAACGGTACAGATTCGTGGCGTATGGGGACAACTGCTAATGGATTTAAATACGTGGAATACTTGCTGCAGAGCAGCGCGCCCAATTCAAGGGTTACAAGTGATGATTTGTCTGTTATTACACTTTGGAGGAGCCATAAAGACAGCAAGCGATCTTTCACCCTGGAACATGTGGTTGTACGGTGAACATGTACCTCATATGGGGGAGATAGGAAGAGGGACTTGGGGAAGTTTTTGTGAGGACTAACAACTCTCAATTCTGTCAAAAACATCTTCTTACGACACCAGGCATGTTCAAACCCACTAAACGACAGCGCGTCTCATTGTAAGATGACAAAGCTGAAAAACAGACGGAAGCTTCCTCGCTTGGCGGAGTGGGAGTGACCCGCGCTACGCGGGACAGACGCGTCTCGTCGGCGTGATCGAACCGCCCGGTTTCTCACTTGGCCCCACATTTGTGGAGTCAACGATCCCTCACGGGCACCGCTCGCCTACAGCCATCGTTTCACTGGCTTGGCAGGCACCGGCCGTCAACTCCCCCTGCCCGTCCGTCTGTTCTTCCCAGTCGCACACGAACAACTGCAGCCCACCAAGCAGGGAACAGGGAACAACACCAATGGCCTATGCACCACCAAGCCAGGCCTAGCCAAACCACTTTCCCCCTAGCCGCAATGACACAACTACAAATAGTGCCCGCATGGCAAGGCTTTCTCCAGATTACATTGCTCACACAAGTTCCCTACAGAGTCCCCTACATTACAAGGCTCTATATAGCGACCTTTCATCAACTTCCAGAGTATCTATAGCATCGCTCCTTATATCTGCCATCTCGCTGATCAACTGGACAGCTCTAGCTGTGGGAAGTCAACGTTGCCTGTTTGAATCTCACAGCATCTCCCAATAACGCGACGCCTCGTGCACTCTATAGCCACGCAGATCCTATTATTTGCTAACTGCAGCACCGAAGCTATCATGGCAATTTCGCGCTCACACACGTTTTCTCTCATCGTGGCGCTGCTGCTGCTCGCCGCTTGCCACGCGGACGCAGCACCGACGGTGGCGCAATTCCGGGCGGAACTCAACGCGCTGAAGGCGGTGTTGGTCAAGACGAAGGAATACTCGGCGTTCGGGAAAGGCGTCGATAAAATGCGTGAGTACTGCTCCCTTCGATTTTCTACTGCGAGTCGTCGCTTCTCTAATAAGCGGACCCTTTCTCCCACGCTCTCAGTTTGAGTTCATATCGGTCGTTCGGTTAGGGTTTCTTTTGAGTGATGAACCGAGGTACACAAACATAGCCCAAGTGCAGATACTGGCCACAAATCAGACACGACCCGTGACACCGCCTCGCCAGCTCTCGCCTATCCACTCATTCTCTCCTCTCCCTTCTCTCCTCCTCAACCCATCCCTCCCTCTCCCCTTTGTACAGTCAAGTACCCCGACGCGCAGCTGCCGCAGCTGTTCAACACGACGCTGCTGGTGCCGACGAACAAGGCGGTGTACGGCGTGGGGATGAAGACGCTGCAGAACACAACGGCCATGGAGGCCATCGGCAAGTTCAACGTGCTGCAGCGCCAGTTCACCGCCGCACAGCTGCGAAATCTTAAGCCCAACACGCTGCTGCGCACCAAGGCGCCCACCGACCTGCTGCAGCGCTACCTCTCTGTGGGCGCTAACGCTGGGAAGGCAGTGCTGGGCCCGCGGAACGCGACTGCTGCCGTGCAGGGGGTGGTGCTCTTTCCCGATCTCTACACGGGCAAGTTCCTCAAGGCGCATGGCCTCTCCGTGTTCTTCCGCCCCAAGGGCTACTGACTGCATCTCCTTAAGGGCTAATGACTGGATCTCCCTAAGGGCTACTGACAGCACCAACCCTGCCACGTGAGGTTGAAGGACAGTGTACCTAGTAGGGTTCCCTGCAGCTTACCTACTTAGATTAGATTCATGCAGCCTGGTGTCAGAGCCTTGTGTCAGGAGGGCTGGACTGTCATCCTGACACAATGCGCTGACACTAGGGTTCGCTAGGCACTCTGTACATGCATGCTACCTAACAAGTTATGAATGTGACTGCAAAGTCACTTCTAAGAAAGTGCTGGTTACTCTGGAGCATGGCGCTTATGGCCGGAACTCGATTATGAGCGGTCTCCCTGTAAAACCCTGATTTATCATAAGCGCATGCATAATTTTATTTTTCAGTCCTGATTAAAACGGTAACGAAATTCGATTTTCCAGCGAGTCAACACCCATTTTCACTTTGTTTGACTTTCGAGGGCCTCACTAGTTGTGCGTCCAGTCAGGATGAGCTGGCACGCGGGCAAAGAGACGTGCCAATGCTCTGTGCACCGTCAGAGAATCTCCTCTGCTTGATGTTAGAATCTTAGGCGAGAATGGATGACTAGGAAGCAAGGAAGGGTACAAGTACATGTCGAGAGAATTCTGTACCCCCTAAGGCTAAACCCACTATAGCCTAGACAAATGTAAACACATGAACTAAGCCTAGATATAACTAAGCATATATGTTTGACACACCCCCATAGGCGAAGTGGGGGATAGCCAGAACAAGTAATGGTCACAAGACCAGTCAAGAAAAGAAAAGCAAGCTCAGGGTGGATCACAAAGTCACCACACAGTCCGAGCACAAGCAAAGGGCCACAAGGACAGTTCACATGCAGAGTTATATAAAGAGAACAAACAATACAGTGATCATACCCTAACAAGTGCAAGCATGCAGGTATATAGATATGTCAAACATATGTGTATATTTGTTATAGTTTGGTTAGGCTTAGTGGGGTACTCACTGTGGGGTACAACCCCTTAGGTTTCTCCTTTGTATCTTTCCCTTTCCATAGTCGACAAACAACTTTCCCGTAAGATTCTAACATGGTATTAAGAGCTAGGACGTTCCTAGCCTAGGACGATTTTTTTTTTAGGGCCCACCGTTAAACCTTCCGTGTTCCTGCCCGAATCTCGTTCTCTGCTTTTTTCTGCCCGAAATGCGCCCTTAGGTGCATCGATTTTCGCTGCCCCGCGGCCCTGCCCTGTCCTGTCGCGCGTAGCCAGCGAGCAGCCCGTACAGCCCCCGTCTGGCCTTCGCGCCGCCCGTACAGCCCGCGCCACGCCCGCGCGCGGCCCGTATAGCCTACGTTAGGCCCGCGCGCGGCCCGTACAGTCAGCGCTAGGCGTTAGCGCAGCCCGTACAGGCCGAGTCAGGCCCGAGAGCGGCCCGTACAGTCCGCGCTAGGCATTCGCGCAGCCCGTACAGGCCACGTCAGGCCCGCACGCGGCCAGTACAGCCCACGCCACGCCTACACGCTGCACTGCGCCTGTGTTGCTGCTTCTACTTGCTGCCGCTGCTGCTACTTGCTGCAGCCGCCCCTGCAGCAGCCGCCCCTGGCCCCTGGAGCAGCCGCCACTGCAGCAGCCGCCCCTTGCCCCTGGAGCAGCCGCCCCTACAGCAGCCGCCTCTGGCCCCTGCAGCAGCCGCCCCTGGAGCAGCCGCCCCTGGACCCAGAGCAGCCGCCCCTGGCCCCTGCAGCAGCCGCCCCTTGAGCAGCCGCCCCTGGACCCTCGAGCAGCCGCCCCTGTACCCAGAGCAGCCGCCCCTGGCCCCTGCAGCAGCCGCCCCTGGAGCAGCCGCCCCTGGACCCAGAGCAGCCGCCCCTGGCCCCTGCAGCAGCCGCCCCTCGAGCAGCCGCCCCTGGACCCAGAGCAGCCGCCCCTGGCCCCTGAAGCAGCCGCCCCTGGTGCAGCCGCCCCTGGACCCTCGAGCAGCCGCCCCTGGACCCAGAGCAGCCGCCCCTGGCCCCTGCAGCAGCCGCCCCTCGAGCAGCCGCCCCTGGACCCTCGAGCAGCCGCCCCTGGACCCAGAGCAGCCGCCCCTGGCCCCTGCAGCAGCCGCCCCTGGAGCAGCCGCCCCTGGACCCAGAGCAGCCGCCCCTGGCCCCTGCAGCAGCCGCCCCTCGAGCAGCCGCCCCTGGACCCAGAGCAGCCGCCCCTGGCCCCTGAAGCAGCCACCCCTGGTGCAGCCGCCCCTGGACCCTCGAGCAGCCGCCCCTGGACCCAGAGCAGCCGCCCCTGGCCCCTGCAGCAGCCGCCCCTCGAGCAGCCGCCCCTGGACCCCGAGCAGCCGCCCCTGGCCCCTGAAGCAGCCGCCCCTGGTGCAGCCGCCCCTGGACCCTCGAGCAGCCGCCCCTGGACCCAGAGCAGCCGCCCCTGGCCCCTGAAGCAGCCGCCCCTGGTGCAGCCGCCCCTGGACCAAGAGCAGCCGCCCCTGGTGCAGCCGCCCCTGGATCCCGCGACGCCGCCCCTGGACCCGCGACGCCGCCCCTGGACCCCGTGCAGCCGCCCGCCGAGCGCCGGCCCTGCTCGCCCGGCGAGCGCCTGCTCTACCCGACACTGGTGAGCACCTGCCTTGTTAGCGCGCTGCCGCGCCATCTGCCTGCCTGCCTGCCAGCCTGCCTGCCTGCCTGCCTGCCTGCCTGTCTACCTGTCTGCCTACCTACCTGCCTGCCTGCCTGTCTGCCTGCCGCGCCTGCTCTGCTAGGCTACTGCTACTGGTACTGGCGGTGGCCAGATGCAGCTCCAGCGACGTCCGCGCGAGTCTCTCACGCCCCAGCAGCTTCGTGAGTGGTACGCTAGTTGGGGTTGTGGCGGTAGTCGTCGTAGCTATCGCCCTAGAGCTGGTCAGTTGGGAACGTCTGGCGGTGGCTGGCTGCAGCTGCAGCCGCGTCCACGCAAGACACTTACGTCCCAGCAGCTTCACGAGTGGTACGCTCAGAGTAGAGGGTCCTTGAGTACCGTTCGCTGCCCGTACGTCATTCGCACAGGAGATCGGACGGGTCAGACTTGTGGGACGCTTAGTCACACCCAGTCCCGCTGCTTCGCCCGTCTGAGTGACGCCTGGCGTACCGAGTTTGGCGACGAGGCTGAGCTCCCCGACTGGGTGGAGCTGCTTGGGCAGAGGGTAGATATATATGCTCTTGACTATGCTGCTATTCTCACTGCTATGTATGCCTTGTCTGTTCGTGCTGAGGGTGACTGCTACTTGTGTGTGCCGCCGGATCCTGGTATAACCCCTGGTATAGCCCCTGCAGCACTAGGTGCTTGTGAGTCTGCTCCCCTTGGTACTGCGCCTGCACAGGCTTTGCACACCTTTACACTTGACTCTGGTGCTTCCCGCTGTTTCTTTCGCGACAGTACCACAGTCACTCCCCTCCCTGCACCTGTTCCTGTCTCACTGGCTGACCCCTCTGGGGGCCCAGTGCTTGCACGGTCTTCCACTGTGCTTCCGTGTCCGGCGGTCCCGTCTGGTGAGCTGTCTGGTCTCCACCTCCCCTCGTTCTCTACGAACTTGGTGAGTAACGCTGTCCTCCAGGATGCGGGGGTTGACACCTTCACCCCTGGCCGGCAGCGTGTGGCGATTTGCACGTGCTCCCAGACTGGTCGCCACCTGGCCACGTTCGCTCGTGCGCCGGGGTCCAGTCTGTACACCCTCACCACTGCGTCACGCTCCGCCCCTTTGTCTCCCCGGTTGCACGCGTCTGCTCAGGTAGCTACACAGTGTGAGTGTCGCCGGCTGTCGCACGACACTCTCCTGTGGCACCACCGCCTTGGTCACCCCTCCCTGCCTCGCCTACGCAGCATGCACTCCCGCCTCCTGGTTTCTGGGCTTCCCAGGTCTCTGCCTGCCCTCCCTCCCTCGCCTGCGCCGCCCTGCATTCCCTGCGTCGAGGGGCGGCAGCGCGCCGCTCCTCACTCCTCCTCGTTCCCTCCCACAGAGGCTCCACTGCAGACTCTCCACCTGGACGTGTGGGGCCCAGCCCGCGTCCGTGGACAGGGCCACGAGCGGTACTTCCTGCTGGTTGTCGACGACTACACGCGCTACACCACGGTCTTCCCCTTGCAGCGCAAGGGGGATGTCCCTGATGTTTTGATCCCCTGGATCCGCGCTACTCGTCTCCAGCTCCGCGAGCGGTTCCAGTCGGACTTTCCTGTCCTGCGTCTGCACTCTGACAGAGGTGGTGAGTTCTCCTCAGACCTCTTGGCAGCCTTCTGTGCGGAGCACGGCATCCGCTAGACTTTCACGCTTCCGGCCTCTCCTCAGCAGAATGGGGTTGCTGAGCGCCGCATTGGCTTAGTCATGGAGGTCGCTCGTACCTCCATGATCCATGCGGCTGCCCCCCATTTTCTGTGGCCGTTTGCAGTCCGGTACGCCGCGCATCAGCTCAACCTTTGGCCCCGTGTCTCCTTGCCGGAGACCTCGCCCACACTACTGTAGACGGGGAAGGTTGGCGACGCGTCGCGTTTCCGGGTCTGGGGTGCTCGTGCCTTTGTCCGCGATACCACCGCGGACAAGCTCTCCCCTCGCGCCATTCCTTGCGTCTTTCTTGGCTTTGTCCCTGACGCGCCTGGCTGGCAGTTTTACGACCCCGCCTCGCGCCGTGTCTTCGCGTCTCAGGACGTCACCTTTGACGAGTCCGTCCCCTTTTACCGCCTCTTCCCCTACCGCACTGCTCCTCCCCCCCCCCCCCCCCGCCGCTCTTTCTCGCCCCAGGTCCTCCCCAGGTAGACCCCCTCCCCGCGCCAGGTCCTGCTCCTTCAGGTGTCTCTCAAGTAGACCCCCCCGCGCCTGCGCCTGTTGAGGTCACTGGTGACTCCGGTCCTGCTGCGAGTGGTGCTGTCCCTGGGGGTGCGGAGCTTGGGGGTGCTGAGTCTGGGGGCGCTGAGCGTGAGGAGCCTGGGGGTGCTGCGTCTGGAGGTGCTGCGTCTGGGGGTGCTGAGCTTGCGTGTGCGGAGCCTGGGGGTGCTGAGCCTGC